TTTTACCAAAACATTTAAATAAATTAAAATATGAAATAATTGTAGTTCTTAACCCTGTAAGTTTTATTAAAAACCAGAATTTTGATATTTCAATTATTTAGTGAAATATCGCAATAGATAAATCCTCATGGGACATCCTGTATAATCATTTTATAATGTTTTTTTAGAAAAAAAGTTTAAGTTGTCGTGGCACAACTTTAAAATCTCACAGCACATCATAGTTAAACACTGGTAAACACCAGCTAACCTAACCTAACCGGGTTAATATGTATCCATTACTGCATTAAAGAACAAATTTGTAAAATATTAACTACAATTTGACTGCATATTGTCTTCGAAATTTTTACTTTAGGTGTATGTTATAAATTATAATAGAATGAATTTATCGTCTTTCGGAAAGTAGTGAGTTTTTTTATTTATTTTAAGATCCCTTTTTCACGCCTGTCCTATTAAAACTATTATTCGTTTTTCGTTGGACGTATTATTATTTATTATGCATCCAATAGCTTAAGGTTTTGTAACATATTWTATTTKATTATGGTTGTCTGCAATGTTAAAAGTTAATATCTATATTTATTTATTTTATATTGATTTCTTGATGGTATAGGTGTGTTCTGTGCWATGAAAATTATCTAATACGTATATAATATACAACAAATTTATTGTTAATTTTTATTGGATGTAATTGAATAATAAAAATTTTTCTGATAATACTGTCAGTTTTTGAAATAAGTATTACTTTTTGTTTGACATGTTATTTATTGTATTTTGAAGAATAAATTACAAAAAAAAAATGATAAATTCATTCACAATTAAACAACGAATACCAACCGTAAACTAAATGAAACATTTTTAATCATTGAACTAAATCAAAATGATGACATATTTACTGGTAGGTAAATTAGGTATTTATTTGTTGATATTAATACTTTTGTATTCTTCTCATAAATAAATATTGATAAATCTATTTTACAATAAAGCTTAAAAATAAAATTAGATAGCATGTATTTTATAAACATATTATAACGAAATAAAATGTTTTGAGTATACACATATTATGTTATTATATTATTGGATAATTTTATTTAAAATTAATAATTTGTGTAATATACATTATTTTAAATAATTTTCAACTAAATTAATTTTGCCCAATTAAAAATCATATCTACTGAAATATTTAAAAAAAATTAAACAGAATCAAGTCGATACAGAAAAACTTTATTTGATTCATTGATTGACCCAAAATTTCTTATATATCTATAGTCTATTTTAAATATTTTCACCCTGGTGACCTTAAGGGGTTTTTTATAAACAATTTGACTTTAATACTTAAGGAATATCCTAGTACAGTAATTACATATATTGAAAGGGTACCTAATTGGAATTTCATATAAATCTGAGGTCATAATAATTRCTAAGTCACGTTTATGCAATTTAAAATCTTTCCCACATTATTTTTAAAGTGCGCAAAATTTTGAACATCATCATTTTAGGACGTTTTGAGTGAGTAAAAGAAAATTTAAGATAAAAATTTACTCATGGTTTCGATTTATATAAATCACTTATCATTAATAGACATACACATTTATATTTGAATACTGTGTTTGGGAGATGTATTATACTTAATCTCAAAACATCAACATTTCCATTGCATTAATCCYGATTTTTTTGTTTAAGTCAGATTTTACTAACTTGTAGATTTTTTTTATACATCAGATTCGCGTTTTATGGCTTTTGTTATTTTATAGGCGCAGTTGCATATGATAACAATAATAATTTCCAACTAAAAAGTATGTTTGAGGAAMAATATTTTATAGTTTTTATATGAACACATATAATACTTATACTACACGAGTGTAGAATATACATCATATCATAATAAATACTAAACCACATTTTTATTTTTAATATCCATTTTGATTCAACTATTCTTTATAAACYGTAAAACTATTACCTTATGAGTTATGGTTTGTAAAATATTAAGTATTTGAAAATCTTGATACATATTTAAAATTTAAAATGAGTAGTGTAAGGTTGTAGTGGTAAAAATGAGTTAGGTATAGAATATTTATAAACCAAGTTACTTCCTTTCTAATTTAATATGGTATTTTTAAATGCTACCTAATACCTGTTGAAAATATATGAATGGATTTTTATAATTTTTTTCTCGTGTTTACATAATTTACTTAAAAATTGACCATAAAATCATGTGATTAATTACACATAAGTATTTTAAATTAATAAGTTTAAGTTATGTATTCCAAGCTATGGAAAAAACAACTTCCAAGTAAAGTCATAAAAATGTAATTGCTTTATTGCAGAATGTATAGWSTATATAGAAAGTATTATAAATAAATCACATTTATATATTTTTTGTCAGATTAATATATAAAATTGCTTTTAAATTGCAGTATAAATATAAATTTTTATGYTATAAGTAATCTTAATATTTGTTTAAGCGTATAATCTCCGAAAACAGTGAATTTAATAAGTTAACTAACTATACACTACTTTTTAGGTACTTAAATACTTTAGAGTTTATCATCAAATTATAGTAGGCTAAATGCTGTAATTCAGCAATATTTTACGTTCATAGATAGGTATTCTGATTTAGTCATTCATATAATAATCGAAAAATATATTGGGTCATATCTTACATTCTCTTTTGTACGTTTGATGATMTGTAATCATAAATTGCAACTAACAGGTTATGGCAATATATTTTTTGTCATCAATATTGTAATTTGATAATTGTTGTGCAAAATTTACCAATATATATGTATTTTACTTTCAATTTATTACTACAATTTTAATGTAAATTATGTTTTATTTTTCCGGTTTATTTATGTACGACCACTTAATAAATGTTATAAAATCAAATAGTTAAAAAAAATTTTACATTGTATATAATGTAATAATTGAAGTCTTGACGTCTTGTCGAGTATAGACTTTAAGGTGGGACAGTGACCGCAGTGTTCAATATCTAAGTTCATGTCGTTCATGAAGGTATCTATCGAGGCGCAACTCCTTTCGCCCAAAAACGACCTTCCTCTTTTTGCCCACGTCCACTTTTCGACCAAATACCATAAAATAGTTTCATCTTTTCGCCTAAAAATAATTTCATTGTTTTTGCCCACGTTTCATGTTCAAAATTTTGGAAACCACTGYCATACAGCTTTGGGAAGCTTACTCGTCAGAATTAATCAGGACGACTAATGCATGTGAGTCCTTTCATGCATTCTTTTACAAAAGTTTTTATTGTATTTATCCATCAATTGGTACGTGGTTGGCTGTTATACAAGAAGTCCAAACTAATTTCTATATTAAATTAAATAGTATCCATTTATAACATTTCCTTAAAGATAGTAAAGTTAAAGAAYGAAAACTAAAAAACGAAGACAAAATACATCAGAACTTTAGAGGAGAGATAAGTCGGTATGAATTTTTTAAATCTATATTGTTCAACTTATAAAAATATTTAAATTTAAATTAAATGTTTTTTATAAAAGATTTTTTAACGATGTCATGAAAATTAATGACAAATACGTCTTATATTGTATAATAATAATTTAATGTCCACAAACACAAAATATATTTTTGGAGAGTAATAGAAGCCACCACTTYGTGGTGYWCTCTGGGTTATGCTAAATGGTTTTATTTTATTAATCTTAAAAAATAAATAAATAAAAAAGTTAAATTTTGAGACAGTRCTTTCCAAAATGTTGAACATGGAWATTGGGCAAAAAWAATGCAATTATTTTTAGGCGAAAAGAGGAAACTATTTTATCATATTTGGTCGAAAAGAGGATGTGGGCAAAAAGAGGAAGGTCGTTTTTGARGGAAAGGACTACCTACCRCCCATCTATCGTTCGATGTATCGCTCGATTATGTACGCAATGATTATSCTTGTAATATTGTTATMTTATTATAATAGTAATATTAATGTRAAATATTTTTAACTATAAATGCTTACCGCCCGTATGAAACATTTCATCGCCAAYGAAATTCTCCGTTGTTGAATGCATTGTTTTTACCGTAGAAATCGGGTCTATAAATGGTATACTTTTGCATTCGTGAAACATTTTTTGTTTGAGTTTCTAAAACAATAGTAATAAAAAACAAATGTGATAAGTTTTGAGTTTTAGTTTTGGTCAGCAACGACCAAAATATTATATGAATAAAATGTCGATGTAGTTTTGGGAATCGTTTAGTAGTAATACGCCATTTGACAATTTTACCTCATGATCTGCGTATCCTTGCGGGTTGTGCGTTTTGGGAAAATGGAAAGCACAACAGTGATACGGATATGTCAACCATGCTTCTTTAATATTCTATAACAAAATAAYAACATTAAATGTATAACTACTTATAATAACAAATAAAAATAACAATAGATTCGCTCCGAGAGTTTAATCGAGAAAAAAAATTGCCACCGCGTCTGGTAACAAAACTACGAGTACCATAATATTATAATATATGTCCTATGTGCGTGTCAATTGAAAAWKGTATACTTTATTCGAATAGCCGGCAAACACACACTCCAACGTCATAATATTCTTAATCAAACGCGCAATTAATGAGTGATACAATATGACATAATATTCACTGCGGGTGAAATCAATCATAGGAAGTGCTTAAAACATTCAAAGACGGTTTGAGGGTAAAATAATTATACGAAATGGTAATAATAATAATAATAATAATAATATCTAACAATTAGTGTGGGCCCGCCGAACGCTGTATTATAATACGCATTCCGTTGACATCATCACGCGGATGGCAAAGATACGATCTAATTCGCAGACTTGCAGAACAAACCGTATGCAAATAATACACCCCCACACATATAAATGTATACGTATATGTGTTTAAGTTGTATATTATGTTGTCGCGGTATTAGCTCGTGTTCAATATGAATTAACCATGAACGACCGTTGTATAACGAGTAATGCTATTTTTGGGGACAAATCGAAATCGGTTAGATCGCCGATGACTGTGCTGTAGTATACACCACCGTGATATATAATAATGATGTGATGTTACACTGCAGTATGTGCACTAATGTAATATAATACTATATATCAATATATCAATAAATTTCTTCTTGCGCAACTTCGATACCGGAACACCGGTAGCATTTGTGTGATGGCATTATGCATACATTATATATATGTATACAGTAGACACTGCAACAAACATAGAAGCAGTGGCGTATTTAGGGGAGGAGAGGTTGAACCTTCGTCCCCCACGAAATGTGTGGTTGGTGCGGGCGTAACTAACTAATTAGAATTTAAGAGAGAGTGTTTAAATATTAATTTTTTTTTTAGGTAACCCCTCCCCCGAAAATAATTACGCCACTGCATAGAAGTATAATATAACTCTGCGGTGTAACTACGAACTATTAGCGCGCATGGGGTCACAAAATATTAAATAAGAGTAGTCTGGATTTTGATGTTCTATAATATACAAATAGGGATCATCGTATATCTTTGCAACTGAGCGTGTGTGCAGTTTTATGGTAGTGAAAAACACAACCACGGTTCATTAAACACGGATAACGAGTTGTTTTTATTTTGTATAGGTATCTTAGAAAATTTCCTAGGGTTAGAATGGTTAGATACGTTAGAGTACATCTTACTATATCCAGCGCGGCAGTATTATAGTGGCGCAAAGCTAAGTAAAAAAAAAAATAGCCTAGCAGCCACTATTATAATATAACAGTTTCCTTACCATAATAATATCTTAGAGTAGGTAAAATAAGTGAGAAATAAATAATATGAACAAAATATAATAATAAATTTAAGAATAAAATTTTTATTTAATTTAAATTTAAAATTTTTATAGTAAATTTTAATTTCGAGGAAGCTGTATACACAACTTTTTTTTATCATCTRCCATATCAACGTTTTTTTGCACTAACTAAGCATCTATCTATTATAATTATGTAMTTCATAAAAACAAATAATATTTAGCATATTATTAAGTTATTATTATTTTGTTATTCATTGATTATTTTTAAATTAATATGAGGAGAATATTTATAGTTTTTTTAGAGCGCATTTTGTTTAATAAAACCATCATATTTTGACTGCTATCAAACATAATCAAATTCCTAATAGTATTATAATATAAGATATCAGTGATAAATTGAATGGCCTGGATATCAAAACCTGTCGACAAATTTTTAATACATCGTCTTTTTAAATTCTTCAAAATATACGTGATAAACCTGATATATTATGATGTCGTATTTATTTTGAACCAACTGTAAATATAAATAAAATGTTTTCTTGAAGATCATTGTTTAAAATAGTACAGTGGTGCTTTTTTTTTTGGGGGGGGGGAATACTCTTTTGAGTCTAACATAGATAGTTTGAAACGATTCGCAAATAGTTTTATTTTTTGTCGATTGAAACTTTCATCCAGTTCGTGATTTTTATAACCGATTTTTGCTGAAGAAGAAGGTGTACCCAAGCGAATGAAAAAAGTATTTCGGTGGTGGATGTTTGTCCGTCATCCCTTCGGTCCTCGGACAGGATAGTGTAATTTTACTGTATTCGATTTGAATGCAATGATTGCATTCGATAAAAAACGATCCTGAGTGGACGAGAGGATTTTTTATTTAATTTTATTCGTTTTTATGGTGATAAACAAAGCGTTAAAAGAACAGCTTAAGAACGATTTTTATAAATAGGTAATTTATATTATTATAATTTATAATTACGAAATATCATAAAAATCAAAAAATATATAAAATAAAAGAAAAACTCAAAAGTCGCTCAAATGTTTTAAAATTTTACCATGTCTAGATAAGGATAATATAAGTAAACAACTCAAATTTCAAATTTCAAGTTTTTAACCAAATAACAACAAAAAAATTCCAAAATTAAAATGTCTAAAATTTTCCGGACTTTAAACTGTAAGGAATAAAATCCAAAATACAACAAAAAAGATATCTTGTCATTTTTCATTTGAAGCAATATTTCTGGTAGAAAACGTCCGTAATTATTTAATATTATAAAATCGTAAAATTGTACGGTTTTTCTCCTTTAACCTCTTTTATTTCGAGTACCGTACATTACCTTTCATAAAAGATGGTATAATTGATACTTTTGAGCAAGTTTAGAGGGAGAAAAGTGTTTACAGAATAAAAAAAGAAAAAGAAAAAGAAATAAACATCACTATAAAACCAATACATTCCACGCTTTGCTCAGAATCWAAAAATATTGAAAAACTGCCAAACATTATACCTAAATTAAATAAATGTAAGCAAGTTCGTGTTCATGGCTATCTAAACTTTGCTCGGAATTGTTTTTGAATCCCATGCTATGTAGTATTATGATTGTTGACGAATTCAATATTACAACGTAAACGTAAGAGATCCATCGGTTAAATCCAACTGGGATATCGTTCCAAAGTAAAGCTTTTTTTTCCTTCAATTTATTTTGGATTTAGTGATTGTTACACGGATCAGTGGGATTTTTAATATCACAACCCCATTACTACTATAAATACTACTAACTATCTACTACGCGTAAGTATATTTGTCACTACTACTGGAATTCCTCTACACGTCTACTATGTTAATCCCGAGTCTCATCATAAACAATCAGTAAACATTTAATGAGTCAATCGTTAGCTATAGTTGTCCCATAAGTGTATGGTTTAGTATATACTTTAGTGGCCCATGATTATACGAGTATAGTCACTTAAATTGTATAATGAACCATTAAATTAAACAATTTCTTATCCAACCCGAGATAAGTATATGATATTACAATATTTAATTAAATACTACGTCCTGTCGTATAGTTTCMAGTTGGTAATTTATTTTCACCTTGAAGTTGTAGATGGACGGGAAAACATTCATAGTGTACGTTTTTTCGATTTTCAAAACGTCCAGTTCTTCGAGACCGGCTGTAGGCAGATTCTGGATTGATGTTTCCGACAAGTCTCTGTGGAAAAACAATACAACATATATACAATGATGGTCCGCGGAAAAAYGGCTGGGTGTGGTGGAGCGGAAAAGTGGGTATTGCAGCTGCGGAACACAACGCGGAAAGAACGAAAAGTTACGGATGACACCTATTTCAATTCATCTAAAACAAAACTTGTTATAATAATATAAGTTCACACGAAATTATCTTTGAAACTATTTGTACATTTCGTCCTACTGTTTTGTTACATGTATATGCCCCGAACCCAAATCGTGTTGCGTTTATTTAATAAAAACTTCGTACAAGCTCTTAAAATATCTTTTTACGTCTTAAAACTTACAGGTAGCGAAGACTTTTAATCCCAACAAAAGCTTGAGCGTCCAATTTTT